CAATAAACAGAGCAGTCCTGCTCAATCAGCCTCTACGGAGGAAATTAAGAGTGAATGAAAAGGTCAATTCCAAAATGCTTGGCCTTTCAGCGACAACTATCAGCCAATCAATGTTTATTCTGCAATATACTACAAGAAAAACAGCCACCGTTGTCCATTTAAGACAAACATTCTGCCGTCCAATCAGCTATAAAAAGCAAAACCAGAAGAGGAAAGTGAAAATGAGAGGATACAACACTTACCTTACTAATAATAAGTACATTAAAACTAAAAATTGGGCTGTTCCTCTTATTGTGGCAGCAGGCAAAACCCCCCAGAAGTCCTTGATTTACAACCAAAAATACTTTTACAGTATACAGTGTTAATGTGTGAGATCACCGTCACAAAGTCTAAGCTCCTTAAAAGCCAGAGAGGACCATACCGATATATTTGGTGTCTTAAAGCATTGTTAAAAGCATGATAGCACTATCATAATGTGTCTGAATACATGCACTTACTCCTCCTGACTAATGGACCAAAATTCATACACAAGAGGACAGTGTTTAAATCCACTCTGGTGCATTATTTCACAGCATTCCCTGCCTCTTTGTATGTCCATCACAAGGTAAAAACAGGAAAAACTTTCTAAACTGAACACAAGCCCAATAAATATTTTTAATTTCTTATTTTTGAGCAAAAAAAAAAAAAATTATATATATTTACTTTGACTCTTTATTATATACAATAATATTTTATTTTCTTCTTTATAAAACCAACTACACAAGAACCACTTTTGTCTATTGCATCAGAACAGAGACCAATACAAGGTGACTTGAGCTTGTTCACCACTGAAACTTCAGCTTGAAAAAAATTAGGGTACAGTGATAAGAGTCAGTCTAGCTCAGGGATGGGCAACTTTGATCGTGACGAGGGCCAGCATTTTTTCTCCTTTATACCAAGGGGTCAGATTACTAATCCACGTCCATACACCTTTTACACCGCCTTACTCAATTTCCTTTTTATTGAAGGAAATTAAAGTATAACTAATGTCATTTGTTTTTAAAGATTTTTTTTTAAGTATAAAACTTGTGCAGTTATGCCAATTCAGAAGGAAAACTTTGTTATCAGTGGACAGAAATATTAACCTGACAAGCCAATGTAAACATTTCAATTGCATTGTCTGTAAATTTGCAACAAACAAATATACAGAGGTCCTTTTTTTATTAGTAGCCTACAGAACATTCTCAAAACAACCTAAAAGGACAGTTAAAAAGGGCTTAATTAAAGTTGACATTACTGCTGTGCATATCTGAATTTTTTTTCTTTTATTTTTCTTCCTCTCCTTTGGTACAAGTGGACAGCTTCATGGCATCTGTTCGTACATAGTTCTCTGGAACTGTGAATTATGATATGTTTCTGATGTGAAACTAAATCTGAATAAAAATGTTGATCACAAAAAAAGGGCTTAATTAAAAAAAAAAAAATATATATATATATTATTTCATTATTTCAAATGGTACCATAAAATAACCTGGTCTCTGCAGGATTTTTAAAATCTAATTTAAGACCTTTAAAGACCTTTTTAAGATCTGCACTTCACATTTCAGCCTTTAAACAATTTTTAAGAAAAGGGA